CTTCTTCGACTTTTTTCTTAGCGTACTTTATGCTCAAATCAATATACCAACGATATATACAACGAACATTTTAACTTCATACTTTCAAAGAAAGTTTCGCCGAGTGCGTGGCTATTAAAAAAATATATTTTTCTCAGTTCCACGCGGCCAGCGAAGTGCACGATTTTCCACGCGGTGGGAAACAAATGAAAGAAAGAATAAAGAAAGCAGCGAATGCACGTGCAAATTCAGCAAAGAGTGAGACTTGAATATTCATGAGAGACAATTAATTGAGCGAGCAGGGTGGATTTTAATTTGCAAATTTCACGGATTAATCTGCTGTACCTGTTAGTCTGCCTGGAAGCACCGACTTTCTGCGGTGAGGAACTTTCGTTGCACGCGTCGATGATCTTCTTCAAAACGAAAAGGCATTCGCGGAACATTGAAAAGAACGGATGATGAGAGATGATGCATAACGACGTTAGCGAGTGATTCCGTATCCTCTGCAAGAACATAATAACAGAACAGAATCATTGACGGTATTGTATGTATCGATTAGCTTGTTCAGTTCGTTTATTGAACTTTGTCTTTCAACCAACTATTACAATGGACCTGTAGTTCTAATCTCTAATCATCAATATTCTCGTTGAAGTTGAGTTTGATTTATTCTTCATTCTAGACAGATGTGTTTCCCTTCGTTAGTCAAAAATTGATAATTCGATCGTTTGTATTTTAATTTTATTAAAAGTTTCATTTCTGTGCCATTGAAGAATATCTTAATTGCCTAACTAACAAAGTTTGTTAAAGCATTTAAGTTCAATGAAAGTTTATCAGTCGCAGATCGAGTTAAAGTGAGCTTTAGTTTAGCTAATTCCTAATTTTTTGATTATTCCACTCCTTTCTTTTTTCTAGAAAAATTCATTTATCGTCAAAACAAGGAATCAATTACTTGAAAATTATCAGGAACTATTACGAAAGTAATTTTTCCTGATTAATATTTTTACAGTCAAATTTTTACAGACTAATATGTTTCGTAATTGCGAATGTTCACCTGTCGTCTGCGCGATGCACGCGGAGACGGTGAATGACTTCCTCCACTTTCACTGTCTCCACTTGGTGCAGTGATACCTAATCTCGGTGCACTCGGTATATGCGAAGTGTCAGAGTCCCTTCTGCTGCTCGGACAATCTTTCTCTGAATCGCTAGGGCCCACTGCACTGCTCCTATAGTCGCTATAAAGAACAGCTAGAGATACAGTCTTATAATTGAAAACGATACATATTTTTATTTTTAATAATTATACAATTGTAAATCGTGGAGGATCTGTGATAAATAATGCAGATTGCAGATATATAATAGGTGTGATTTTTGGTAGTAAGATTATGATAAAATGATGTGTTATATTTCACCTAGAAAACGCAGAATCTGTGCTCTTTTCCATGCTCTTTCTCCAGCTCTCCCTTCGAAACGTGGTATTGTATTTGTCCCTTTTCACTGACACCCCAGCCCCGACCGTAACTCCTGCCCTTTCTATTGGTCGATAAAAATTCACGCAGATACCATAGCGAGTTTTCCCTGAAATAATCATCAGGCAGATCGAACTCGTGTACAATTCTAAATAAATGTTCTAAATAACGTGAAACTCGGTATAAACACGTCTAGGAAAATCAATCGATACTTTTAAATAACAACTGAAATTAATTTTACCTCTATTTTCGAATACTTGTAATACACAGTAGCGAAGTTTAAAAAAAAAAAAAAAAAAGAGAGAGAAAGATAGCGACTATCAACATTTTATTTTTGGAAAATAAAATTAGATTTAACAAAAGCGTAAAATGTACTTGAGAGATGTTACGTGAAAGAATGAAGTATTTATTGAGTTATCTCGACCTAACGTTGAAGTTAATTTCTTGGAGCATTGCTTCGAGAATTGTCAAACGTTACTTTGAAGGAAAATCATGTACCGGAATCTTTGTCCGTGAGGGTGAATGTAAAGGAGGTGGCCTCTCGTAAGGCTGTGCGTTTCGGGCCCACGCTGGTGCAACCCTCGGGTTGACAGAAATAAACCATATCCAGCGGCAATGGAAAATCTTTGTGATTTTCCACCGGATATCTTCGCAATAATTCTGGAATCTAGATATTCACACAGATTCTAAGAAAAACGATTAAAAAGGACAAAATAGGAGAAACCACATATTGTACACATGTAGTTTCTCACGAAAATGTTACTTTTAATAATATATTATACGTGTTTGAAATTTCATTAGCATTAAGATGTAATTATCATAGTTGTATTAGTCAAGTCTGAAACAAATCTGAAAAAATATATATATACTTCTTACGTAATGCAATTAATATCTTGTTAATATCTTACAATAACTTATTTTTAAATCAGTTCGAGAGCAAATTCTTTAAAGAGAAACGGCTGACATATCGTCACCTACATTTTTCTTCCTTTCTCATTCTTGCTTCCATTATCGTTATTCATTGCTGCTAAATGCCACAGAAAGCATTATACTTTTTCACATCATGCGTGGAGAAAGATTTAGCAAAAGAATCCTCAATAATAGTCACTATAGGCAGTTTGAAGAACTTGAAAGAAATACCGTACCTGCACAGGCTGGCGAGAGACTGAGGGTAGTCTGGCCCCCACAATGGCGAGATAATCCACCAAGCGGGGGCACAGGTGCTTCTTCTGTATATCCATCGCTGTAGTTTACAGCTCTGTCACCGTTCTGTGCAATGTGCACGGGTCATCTGAGCCGTCGGCTTTTCGTCAGGATTGCCTCCTGATCGGTTCATGGCTGTATCATTCTTCACTTGATCTTCCACATCTAGAAACACAAGCCAACGCGAGTCTTATATAATACAACTATCCGGTGGGGTTACATATCCTCTGGAAAATTAAGCCCTATTTAATCTACTATTTGTCCTTCCACACTTGGTTGCCTTGACATCCTCTGTCTTGTTTCACCTATTCAGTCAATAGATTTTCATCGATTTTACACGCTGGAACCTATCGCCACTCAATGGACACTTAAATACGCTACACGCGGCTAATTAGAACTAACACGGAAATAATCCTTCCAGAATTTTTATTGCTAGAGGATTTTTCCAAATCTTTGTATACAGATTTTTACTGATTCATTTTTATGCATTTCTGGGAAATTCGAAGATACAAGATTGCATATCTATATTTATATTCTATAGATATTGATTATATAGATGAAGATTTAAAACGAGAAAATATATATATCCGAAATAGATATTTATTGTGATATTTCGTAAATAATTTATATTTATTTCATTTCATTTCTTTTTTTTTGTTATAGCATAAAAATGTATAAAAATTCTTGGTCTGTTTATTCGAAATTTTATATTTTATATTTCTTCTACAAATTTCTATTCTAAGAAATTTCTGCTCGCCAAAAATTTATATCGAGTTCTATTGGAAGGGTTTATATTTGCCAAATTTCTGTGATGGAAATTTCTCTTTGTTTCCATTCGAAATTCATATTGGACCAACTTCTATTCACTTCCACTCGCCAAGTCTCTGTCACGGATATACTTTTGATGGAATTTCATCAAAATTTTCATCGCGAAAGCTCGTCTCCTGACTATTTTATAGCCAGAAAAATAATTTCTTCTCATTCAGAAAAGTCTTTACATTTTCAACGTATGTTATTTGAGATCGAGACGATGGACAGAAAGAATGAATTAGAAGGTGAACTGATAATAGGATCTAATACGTGAAACAATATTTAGGGCACGAGGCTCATTGATTTCTTGCGCTTCGTGACCCATATTAGATTAACAAGAATCACAAAAACGCTTGAGCATCGTGCAAGGTTTAAACTGAGCTCAGCTTCTTTGAAAATGTTTGGATGAAGATTCATTTAAAAAAGTCCAAACTTTTGCCTGAGCCATTATCATTTCCATGTCCCTGAGTTTTCTTCGACTCAATTGTCATCTAAACTTATGTTAAACATTCGTTTACAATTCGAAACGAAATTTTTCTTGACCCTTGAAAGTTCTTGTTTTAAGAAAGAAATTTACCGATATTTTAATAAATTTTAATATTAACTTCTGTCTTAAGAATTCTCATTTTACATCTGATGAAAGAGTGAAACGCATTAATAAATTTAAAAGACAAGAATATAATAATGTTCGAAAGTTTGGAAACGTTTATTTGAAACAAAGGGATGTAAAAACATGATTTGCAAAGCTTATGCAAGGAAGTAATGAATATGTGTTTGAGCATTTATACATTTCAAATTAATACGAAACAATTACACAGTGGACTTGTTAGAACGAAATTATTAATTTTGTATTCGTTTAAAATAATTTGTACGATCTCGACCATTTTTCAGCTTTCATGGAGTCTGTTAATATTACGGAAATGAATATTAAACAGTAATTCGTGGAATAAATAGAATAAACGAATCTGGAAATAATGAATAATTTCCAATTGAATTGAATAAAAATGAAATTAAACCTTGCCAACCAAATAACAATAACAATATTAAGCAATAATTCCAAATTTTTGAATGTCACTCACAGATCAAAGATGAGAATCTTTTTCCCCCAAGGAAAAGACAATTCAGAATCGATAGATCGCTCTTTGAGGAATGCTCGTACGCGTTTGCGCGGAATTATTGTATACGTCCTCGTACATTCCAAAAATATTTTCACGTCCTTCCCGTCTTTCTGACCTACATCCCCCGTTTAATTTCGTGGCTTAAGAGGTCACAGACTTTCTTTGTCAGCCGTGAGGAAAGGACAATGCATACGGAACAGAACTCTGTGCCACAGAATGTGCCGTTTCCGTTCTCGAGATAAATCGCGAAACGACATATCGAGCCCTTAATACGATGCTTAAAATCCATGTACGTAGCTTGAATATTTCAGTAAAAAGTCCGCAAAAATAGCAGAACGATATAGGAAAAACTACATTGAAAAAATTGAAAACAAAAATGATAATTCAATTCGAAGAAAACGATTCTAGGAGTGTAAAATCAAAATCCTAAGTGAAATGAAGATCAGAATCGTAAGGTAATAACGATCAGGGAGAATTGTAGTTAACGAAAGCTAAAAATAATGATTTCGAACGATTCTAAGGATATAAATTCTAAATAACAATCTTTGCTCGAGTATAATATCAAAACAGAAGTGAAAGTTCTGAATCAAAGTAATTCAATAAAAATCCTAAATAACAAAAGTTAGAAAGAATATTACGAAAGTCAAAAATAATAAGTTAGTTCGAATAATCATTAGATCATTGAAATTAT